TCATAAACAAGTCAGTTTCACAGCACCATCAATTTAGCAATCTAATCTCTAACTACAGGTACCTCATGGAACAGCTAGGGGCGAAGAAGGTGAAGTGTATTTTCCGTGAAGCAAATGGCTGTGCTGACCGCTGAGCCAAGGAAGGAAGCTCAATCAATGAAGGAATCATTATCTGTGCTAATTTGCCTAGTCTTATTACTGATAAATTATGTAATGATGTTATTGGAACTTTGTATCCCATATTTATTTTGGACCCTGTTTAAGCTTTCTATAATATCAGTCTTATTGCCATAATAATAATAATAATAATAATAATAATAATAATAATAATAATGATAGTTACATGAAATTAGAAAATCATTAGAATTTACAATCTAAGGATATAATTCATTTATGGTGCAACCCAAAACAAGAATCTTAAATATGCACCATAAATTTGAAATTCTGAACAAATTTTTAGTTTATTTTTATGCGAGGAAATAGACCTACTAATTTAATACTAGATATAATAGGTTAATTAGCAGGTGACTTATGGCATGCACGTAAATTTATTTTTAAAATGAAAAATTAATTTTATGTCTTAATACTTTATGTGTAGAAAATTTTAACAATTGAAAGTCAAATATGACCAAATTTGCTAATTACAGATGGAAATTTTTGTTATAAATTTGCCTACGTAAAAGACTCATAAAAATAATTTCTTTTAAGTTTAAAAAAGGTGTATTCTTGTCCTGAAATTAAATCTTCATTTATGTTAATTAAATTTACCAAAATATGAATTTTACTTGTATCAAAAAATATTTTTTTTTGAAAAAAAATAAAAATAACGAAAATTCTATAATATACAAATTATGATTTGATTATAATGCACGGTGGATTATTTTAGTTATTAATCGAAAAGGTCTTTCCTAATTTTTTATAATTTTGGTTATTTGTAACATGATGCATCGGATCTTTAATTATGTTTCAAGTGGTGTTTGATTATGATCTATTATAATATTTAAGTATTTTATTACACAAAAAAGTGTTTAAGGTGGGTTGACTCGAAAGTAAGATTTATACTTCCAACCACAATCTCTACTTCTCACTAGCTAAAGTACGAAAAAAGTACACTATTTATTTTACCTAATTACTTTAGCTATTGTGTTCTCCAACCACACTCTTTATTTTAACTAATCATTCAAACTAACTTAATTAATTTTTAAAACAAAAAATACTAATGGTTGATATTTTACTAATGTAAATTTGTAATAATAATAAATTTGCCCATACAAGTATACAAAATTTGCAGAATGAGAAGAAAAAAATACAAAAATACAAAATAAATTATTTCGTAATTCATCAAATAAAATTGAAAAAACATATAAAAGAGAAAAGCTTAGGACCCCAATGGGGGGAGAACCCCAAAACCCCTACTGGCCGGTCATTGGCCATAATTTTTTTTTTTTCTTCATCTTCAATCACTAACTCTCACATGTGTGTGGGGGCAGTGGGGGTGGGAGATAGTAGGGGTCTGTATCATAGCTGCATATAAAATTGCTACATACACATATACATATATAAAATATATAAAATCTCAAATCCAAGACATAAATATACAAAAATCTAAGACATATACATACATATTTGTTTGGACAGCCTATGGGGCTCTTTAATTGTAGCTAGCAAAAAGGTAGGATGATAAAATAGCTAACCCAATAGCCAACCCATTGGAGCTCAAAATTAGAGTTACATTGGTTAAAATGCCTAACAAGCCTTTTTTAGCTATCCCCTTGGAGATGCTTAAGATAGTAAGAATTATTCACATTGATGCATAAAATTAGAGTTACATTGGCTAAAATGTCTAACAAGCCTTTTTTAGCTATCCTCTTGGAGATGCTCTTATATGAGTAAGATAGTAAGAATTATTCACATTGATGTATAAAAAATTACAAAATTCAAATCATAATTTCAGTCTCAAAGGGATTTTGATTAATTATATGACACATCATAATAACCGTAAATTTTTTTATTCCAGCCAAATTATTTTTGCATATATTTTTATGGCAGAGCACATGAAGATGCATTATCAGTAATACTATAAATTTAAAATTTTTATTTAAAAATTATTCAAGAAACATCAATAGGTGTCTTAAATATACACAATTATTTTCGATAAATCATTATTTTTTAAAATAATAATCCACACTATTTATCATTTGACATTTATCAATTTATATTCTAAAAACTTTTAAAAAAAAATATTGAGTTTCATTATTTTAATCAATCTATATCAAATTGGACGATACATGTGTATGTAAATCACTTCTAGAAATATGATGTCTGATAAAAAATACAATGGAGTTAACTTTTTTTTAGAGGGGAGAGTTAACTTTAATTAATGTAATGATATGTTATATTATGATATGTGTTACAAAAGAATAATATTAATTTTAATAATCTTAACATTATTGTTTTATAAAAGTGTTACTTGATTACTTATATATAATAAATTTAGTTAAATTATTTGTTTATTTTGATAATTTTAATTCTATTGTGCTATAAAAACGTAATTATCATATAATGATTTTATATGATATATATATATATATATATATATAATCAACATATAGTAAAATAATCGATCATTTTGATATTAAAAATAATAGTTAAATTAGAAAGGGAATTAGTAATATAAAACCAAAAGTGATTCTAATTATTTAATTTTTAATTTTACTTTTATATTTATTTGGAAAATAAAAATATGTAGAAATAGAGCTACACAAAATATATTTAAAAGATTAAATATAAATATGCTGTGATTGGATTAAAAAAAAAACATTAATTAATTAGGTAGAATATTAATTTTTTCTTTAATATTCTTTTTGAATTATTCATTCATATTGTATATAAGTATATAAAATTTAAATTAAATATAAATATTTTGTAATAAATAATTTCATGTTAAATAAAAAATTAAATATAAATTAATATTAAGAAAATAAATAACATAGGCAAAAAATAAAAGATATAAAAAAAATTAATTTGAACTGTGCGATGCATATATATTTTTTGTAAAATTATTTTTAATTTGAATCATGCGATGCATATATCCACCTTCGAAACCGCTAAAAATGAGTGTGAGATAAATTTAAGATGTGAAATTTATTACAAATTAATAGTTTTATATATGAAAAATATTATATAAAATTAGTTTGTTTATATATATGAAAAATATTATGCAAATTAGTGTTATATATTATGCAAAGGCTTGATAATTAGTTAGAATATTCTTCAATCTGTCAGTCCGCCCAAAATCGCTCAAACTGTAATTTGCCAATCTTCCATTTAGTTTATAATTTTACTCTCAAACCGTCCGCACCGCACTGCGCACACCTAAATGCACATAATTAAATATATTTTGTCTTATTTATTTATTTGTATATCGAGATAATTTTTTTTTCAAATATCATAATAATTAAATTAAAATATCAAAAATATATATGAAAAATAAGTATTTCTCAAATAGAATCCATATAAAATTTGTTATTATAATTGAAATTGAGTTTGCTTAGAATTTTATATATAAATAGAAAAGGGATGTGTCTTTTTTTTGGAGTCGGGGTTTCTGTTGTGAGGCCCATTAAAGGTATGTCTCTAGTCTTTTTTGATAATTCGAATAGTTCATATTGTAAGTTTCGTTAAGTAGATCATTCATACAAAAAATTAAGTAAATTAGACATATGTAGCATCATAATAAGAGCACATTTATTTTTAAAAAATAAACAGTTAACATGATTTTAATAATTTTTTAAAAATAATTAGGACTTGATCATGGGGTTATCGATATCCGATTAATTTATTTTTTATATGGATGATAGACTCAACAAATCTTACAATATAAACAGTTCAGATTACCAAAATAAACTCAAAAAAATACCCCTAAAGCCCTCATAGCAGGGCTACTATGCCTTATGGCACAATAGCAGCAACCCTCAATCCGTTTTGTTTATAAAAAAAGAAAAATGCTTGGGAGCACTAATTAGTGCTCCCACTAATTAGGTGGCAGTGGGTCCCGCCATTAATGATGTGATGTTTTGGTCTTGGAGTTGTATTTTTTTTTTTTTTTTTACTTTTTTAATGCATTAGTGCTATTAGTGGTGATGTTTTTAGTGGGATGAATCATTGTTGATAAAAAAATGAACTTTTAGAATGAATTACAAAAGAGAGGAAAAAAATATATTTATATATATATATGATGCCCAATCAATGGGTTAAAACCATGTTACAATTCCAAATTTCAAAAAAAAACTCCAAATTCAGTAGTTGTCAAGTTGCAGTGAACACGACATGATGTCAGACAAAAATAAATTTTTTATGAGAGAGGGCTAGGATTTCTTATCAGTGAGAAAAAAAGTCTTATAAGTGGGAACCAGGTTTAAAGACGTGGTGGTGTTGGTGGAAGAGTAGGGGGAGGAATAAGTGGAAGGATTGGTAAACCGATGTATGCACTAGTACGAGAATCCAGCAGTTGAAGTTCTCTCCAATGCGGTCTTTGGAACCATTTCAAGTGCATTCAATTAAATGTTAGTGGAGTTTTTCAGAGTAATTATTGTCAAAATATGTATGTGATGTTCTAAATTAATTATATAATTAAAAATTGTTAGATAATTAAGAGATAAAGAATGATTTACTTCGTATATATTATAATTTTTTATTTATCTCATATAAACAATATCTTGTCATATTTGGAGAGCATTTATTTGATCATTGTTTTGGTAGAAAGATGGACTTCTGGGAATCGAACCAGAACAGAATGCATTAAGGTCGAATAAGTCTATCGTTCTTTTCATCTGTTTGAGATAGAGGGATAGCTAGTATATCTTAAGCTTACTTGGGAATGCATTGAGGATTTGAAATAAAACAAGGGCGAATAATTCACATGCATCAGAGGACCAATTTGAAATTATAACAAATATGCACAAATTATATTTGATTTTAAGTGGTGAAAACAGTTAATTCATTTCTAATATATGTTTGCATTAATTCCAGTGAAAATTTTGGGAGAATGATTCCAAATTCCAAATGAAACTCTATAAACAATTAGTCTTAAAGAAACCAGGTGGTCTCTTGTTTATTTAATATTTCTTAATAATCAGAACAAATGGATTCAGTTTGAAAAATTATCCAACTACAAATTCATAGCAGGAAATACTATAAAATTTAACTTTCCTAGAGAAGTGGACGAGGTACTCTTATAGGGCGTGGTGGCCAGGTTTCAGATCTCACCATCCCAGAGCTCTTCAATGGTTTTGTAGGCGCCAAGAGTTTCGTGCACAAATTTTGCACCTGTTACTAGCTTCACCTGCATAATTAACACCCATAAATTCAAGTTATTAAAACTGAAACTTGACCGTATCCAGAGCTCTTCAATGGTGTGTGCGATGAAAAATGGCTACTTGCCTGCTCAATTTCTGAGAACTTGTCAAACAAGTCTTCAGGTATAGACCAGTCAAAAACATCAAAGTTTTCTTTGAGCCTCGTCTCATTTGTGCTCTTAGGAAGAACACTGTGACCCATTTCCAAAGCCCAACGAAGCGCAACTTGTGCAGGAGACTTGCCCAATTTCTCTGCAACCATATTGAGAATTGGATTCTTGAGAATGTCACTCTTTTGGTAACCTGGAGAACCCAATGGTGAATACCCCTGCGTAAGAAAAACTCATCAGAAGAAGTCTTTTAAAAATTAAACAGGTGACAAATTTGGACCACATTAAACGAAATCCATCCAAGATTTAGAGAAAAAGAAAAAAAAAAAAAATTGACATAAGTATATTCAACACTAACAATAAACTTAAGATACTTAGATATGCATACTCACTGATAGGTGAACTCCTTTGGATTTACAGAATGCGTGAAGTTGTGGTTGTTGCCATGCCACGTGGCATTCTACCTGATTGACAGCTGGAGGAATGCGAGCAACGTCCAACAATTCGCCTAGTTTCTTACAAGAGAAATTGCTCACACCAATAGCTCGAGCCTTTCCAGAATCATAGAGCTCCTCCATTGCTCTCCATGTACTGGGTATATCAGGCTGAGTCAGGTTCTCAGGCTTAATGACAGCTGATCCCTTCTTCAAGCTGACAGGCCAGTGAATCTTCAATAATTAATCAAGCAATCCCATTTAGTTACAAAGAAACAACAAAATTCACTTGGGATAAGAATAACCAAAATAATTTTAAAAAGAAGTGGTTGTTCCTGAGAATTTGTTTCAGTACATCTCACTCTATTACTTCATCCTAGTTTGACAACAAAGAAATCCACCACAGAATTACACTTTAATTATTGAATGATACTGCATGGATGAGATCACTATCCATAAACTAACTGGAATATAAGGTTTAATTTTGTTATACATACAAGATAAAGATCCAGATATTCAAGCTGTAAATCTTTTAATGTTCTATCCAATGCCTCTTGTACATCTTCTGGTGCATGATCAGTACACCTGCAAATCATTGCAGCTCAAATTGAATAGCATGATCTGGTTAAAAGATCATATTGAGTTGCTAGATGCATGTTCAAATTTTGCATTAACATACAATTGGAATTCCAAATGATTTTTCATTTATTTTACTTCTCTCTTAGACATTAAGGTTGAGATACATGTTTGAGTTAAAGAAGATTCAGATGAAACCAGAGTTTAGAGGTGATCCACAAGTCTTTGCGCTGCACGACATCATCTTCAAACAGCTTCTTCAAAACTGAACCAATCTACATAAGAGCAAATATGTAGATGATTACATGAGTAAAACATTTAAATGGAAACCACTAAAATCCTGTCCATAAAAACGAGTATCTTAATTTCCAATTGGAAGATCTGATGCATAACTAAACCAAGTGCCTAGAATGCAGAGCAAGAATCGGAGCAAGAGTGTCAGGGCTCTGGATTTAAGAATTCAAAGAGAGCTCATAACATGATATACGTGTCTATTATATGTGATTAAACATTTTCTTTTTGTATCAAATGATTCAACATATTCACAATAATGTTGAGAAATGTGTATGTAGTTGGTGCTGATCAAAGTGTTCAACTGGTCATGGGATCAAGTTGGCTAAGCTATGAATTTCATCAATTCTTTTCATCACATTGGTTTCAACCTGGCAAGCGAGTTCTGACCCAATCGAAGTTGATAAAAAAGTCTCAAGTTTCATGCTAGTGTTAAGGATCTGTACTCTCAAAATCGTGAATCTGTGAATCAAATGTGAGGGCTCCACAAAAAAATTCATGGATTTCACGTTAGATTCGTAAATTTAGAGCCAAAAATAAGCTAATCAAAATTTTCATGGATTTCACACACTTAAGATTTATATGATGATATGTTGATGTTGGACAACAAAACCTAATCAAAGACTTGAAACCCAAAAAACTGAAAAATACCTCCTTCTCATTGCCATATAGTTGAGCACAATCAACATGCCGATATCCAACCTGCACTCGTAGATAATACAGTAAGCAATTGCAAACATAAGTTCTATACAGAATGATGTGACTCGTGACCTTTTGTGGTTCTTTCATCGCAAAATTAAAACAACTCATAATTGCAACACAATATTCAAATTTGTCAAATATTTGAAATCAAAACCCATACACTTTGTCATCTATGCAAAAAATAAAACAGCAAAAATCAAGTAGCAGTAGTAATAACAGAAATACAAAACCTCCTAACAACAGCTTTCCGAACAATTGGTGATCTAACAATAAAAACAACTGTTTTAGAAGACAACCTGATTAGAATAAAAGGTTAATAAAGATTTTCTGTAAACAAAATTCTCTGTTTGAAAATAATTTTCGGCAAAATAACAAAGCATTATCCACAAAGATCGAAATTTCTGTACCATGATTTTAACTATTTATATACATTTTCTGGAGAACCAAATGGGCTGTAGGGGTATTAGGTCCATTCATGCATGTGTTTGTTGGAATGCCAGAGAGAGCAAGAGAGAAGTATATGGTATACCTTAACGGCGGTGGCGATGGCCGTACCAACGATTCCTGGATCAGACTGCCAAGTGCCTAATCCAACTGAAGGAATCTTAGCTCGAGTATTCAATTCGAAGAATTGAATTGTCTTCGCCATTCTACACCCGCTCTACCATCTCAGGCTGCCACATTCATGCACCAAATAAGTGTATATAAATACACCACGTACCAACCGATGTTTGTGGGTTAGTTATCACTGGATTATGACTCGGTTTTGTGGCCTGTGTTATTATGATTTGATTATAGTTCAATTATGACTTATTGTGTCATAATTAATTTTACAAATATCACAACTTACTATGTATATTCTTAAAAGAGGCATATTCTAATATAACTCTATAAAAGATATATATAGGAGGAGGATCTCTTTCTCGTTCAATTTTTAGATTAGAGGACATTATTTGGACCCTTGAAGTTCATCGCAGACTCTATTTAAATGATCTGAATCATTTATTTTATTGAATATTTTGTGTAGTTTATCTACATAAAAAATTAAGTCGATCCGATAACTATAATTTTCCTGTTCAAAATTTTCACGTTTTTAATTAAAAAATTATGTTTTTAAAAGCAAATGCTACATTTTTTTGGGTTAAAAATGTAATAAATTGAATAAATTACAATTATTGAATTGACTTAATATTTTATGTGAGTGAAATATACAAAATGTTCGACAAAATGAATGGTTTAAATTATAAAAATAGAACCCATAATAAGTTCCATGAGTCTAAATAATATCCTCCAATTTAAAATTTGGATCGAAAGAATCCTCCTCTATTATATAAGTCCCGTTAACCATTGCTCATTTGTGCAAGGTAAAAGATACAAAAATAAATAAAAACTAAGGAGTGGTTGGGGATGATCTAAATAAGTGCATCTTTTGACTTTTTATTAAATATGGGTTGGGTTTGAAATGATGTGGTAGAGAGGTGATGTGACTTAAATAAGGTAATGTGACTTAAATAGGATAGTGACTTTTTGACTTTTTTAGATTATGACAAATAAGACCTAAATAAAATGATATTTAAAAAATAAAGCACACTTTTCACTAGACCTAGAATAATTTTTACAAAAACGATATACAAACTCATTTTTTTAAATTTAATGATATATAAATGACATAATTAGTTGATAATTAGAGAAAATTTGAAGAAAAATTTTGTTCCTAATAGGGAAAATTATTTATAAGTCCTATTAAGGAGACTTATTTAATGTAAAATCTTGTGTGATTTCTTATAAAGTTTCAAGTCTTATTTAGATTAGAAAGTGTTCCACAAAGTCCTATAAATTGTGATTAAATGATATTAGTGTACTATTATACCATTCATATATGTTTCCATATTATAAGTTATTCACCCTATTAAGGTTTGGAGACTTTTAGGAAAGTTTATTGTGTAGGCTTCGTTTGTTGCCGTGAATTGCGCCATGATCGCGGAGGCCGGTGGATTTTGAAAATGTTACTGGTTTGGATGGTTTTGTTGTTTGCTCTTGCCGATTTGGACTCAAAGTGTTTGAGGGAAAGAGATAAGGTTGTTTTCTTTTGCAATTGGCGAGTGTTGCTGTGTGTTTGCTGATTGTTTTGTTTTCAATGTCATCTTATATGATATGGATTTCACAATCTGGTATAGCCATCCATTGGCACACTTTCATTAGCCTCCATTGAAATTACATTTATGTGTTACGTTCGGTTGTATTTGTCTTTGAACTTGTGTTGTAACGTTATTGTATTCATTGTTTATATACGTGTCACATTACGTTTCGTAAAAGTACATTATGTTCGGTTATTAAGTTTTATTTGAATGTGAAAATGTTGCTGGGTTGTGCAAAATGGTACAACCTTACATTAGCACACTTCTATTAGCCTCAAAGGATGTTACATTTAGGTTGCAATGTTAAACCACATCTATAATGTTGTCATTTTTTGGTGTGTGTTACGTTCATTTGTATTTAATTTGTGTTGTGCCATTGTTGTATTTAGTATAGACATACGTGTCACATTGCATTTCGCAAATTTATTGGGTTTCTAATTTTTCCAATTGAATGTGACAATGTTGCTAGTTCGTGGAAAGTATTGGAATTTATGTGAATGTAACTCACATACACGTGGATATGATTTATGATAACATTCAATTTCCTAGATATGATTTTGGCATTCAATTTCCTATGCACATGGATATGATCATGGTTTTGGCATTATTTATGATATTAATTTGTGTTGTGCCATTGTTGTGTTTTAGTGTGGACATATGTGTCACATTACGTTTTGCAAACTTATTAGATTTCTAATTTTTCCAATTGAATGTGATACTGTTGCTGGTTCATGGAAAGTATTGGAATGTATGTGAATGTTACTCTCATTTTTCATTATGTATTATTCAATTTGGATTTATATTGTTTAGCTGTAAAATTTCTTATGATGGATTGTGATTGAATGTGGGTTGCACCCTGTTATATGATATCGACGTTACTGCGCTCACATTTGATTATATATCACATATCTTGCATGCCTTGTTTTTCGGTTTGTTTGCGGAATATAGTGACACGATTATTATTTCATTTATTTTGTTACACAAGATATGGACATCATGCTATTGTGCACCTTTATCCACTATTCTTGTCAGGTGTTAATGGATTGACATTTACACAATTGGTTAAAAATTTATGTGATAGGTAGGCGGATGTGACACCATCATCGATTTTCATATCTTACAAACTACTGTGTCATGAGAATCAATTCATGATGAGTACTGATGTGGACGTGGAAAACATGTTTTCCCTTGCAAGATCCTTTGGCGTTACCCATATCAACGTTGTGGTTGACTCGCAAAATGAGGTGGATGATTTGATTCGAGGTAAGCAATACGGTGGGACAATCTTCGCAAGTCAAATGGATCCTAACATTGAACAATTTTCAAGGGCCGAAACGGACGGAGATTTGTTGCCTAATTATTGTCGCCACAGTGAGAAAACGTTGATGACAGTTGATTGGTCACATGGTATTAGTCACGTAGGCCAATGTTTTGAAGGGGGTGTTGCTGCATTCCGTTTGGTTCTGTCCAAATATGTTATTGAGTGTGGGTTTGACTTCAAATTTGTGAAAAACGATTCAATGCGGGTCATGACTGTGTGCACGTTGCGAGAGCAAAAATGGTGTACATGGTTGATACATGAAAGGGTTCAAACATGCAATGGATACTTTTACTTGAAGAGGTTGAACAACTTGCATAATTGAGGTACTGTTGTTTGCACTGGGAAGAATAGTAAACTCAATTCTGAATTGGTTTGCAATGTTTTTTGGTGATCGGGTACGTGACAAGCCGCTTACACGTCCCACTGACATCGTGTTTGACCTAAAAAATGAGTACGGACTGACTGTTAGTTACCACATAGCCTGGTTAGGTGTGGAGAAGGCAAGAGGCGAAGTGTATGGTGACTATCATGTTTCATTTGATTAACTTAGGTGGTACGCAGATGCAGTTATGCAGTATAATCCTGAGAGTCATGTGAACTTGGGTTTCGAGCAGTCAACCGGCCGATTTAAGCGGTTTTTCATATCATTCAAATCTTACATTGACGAATTCAACCATGTCCGTCCATTATTGTTCCTTGATGACATTTTTTTGAAAGGGAGATTTAAAGGCAATTTGCTTGCAGCGACGGAGAAGGATGGCAACAAAGGTACGTGTCTTATGATGGTTACTTCAATATTCCATATAGTAACGCATCACATGGCGACTAGACATTTTATTATTAGTCCACTATAGTAGTAGGGGATCCCCTATGGCAAATGTGTTTCCAATTTAATGTTATTTTTATAACATTGTCTATGTTGCGGTTTGAATTGTGAACAATTGTTAATATGAACGTAAACATTGTTAAAAATATTACATGTCTAACATAAAACTTGTCACATCTCCCAGGTTTATTCCCATTAGCTTTCATTATTGTTAACTCCGAAACGACTGCAAATTGGACTTGGTTTTTAGAGCACCTGATAAACGTTGTCAATAGTGCTCAAACATTAACTTTCGTATTTGATCGGAATGCTGGGTTGCTCGAATCCTTGCCTACTGTGTTCCTATTTGCACATCATGCGTACTGTTTGCAACATCTCCAAGCAAATTTGAGAGACAAATTACGGTGGGTTGATAGCCATGTATGTTTTGGTTTAATGGCCAACTTGCGTGAATGTGCATACGCTCCAACTGAGACGTCGTTTCGACACCATTGGGCCAAGCTAAAAGGATCAGGATGGTCTGGTATAAATAATTTTTTAGAAGATATGCCACTGAACCATTGGGCTAACGCATATTTCAAATATGTATGATGCTTACATGCGATAACATTGGAAATACCCAATATGTGAAAACATTTTCATGATGTTTTCAAAATGTCAACAGGGGCGAATGGTATGGGGAGATGACCTCCAACGCTGCAGAATCATTCAATAAATGGATACTTGATGCCCGTAATTACCCAATCACTAGGTTGGTTGATACAATAAAAAATCAGATAATGACAATGAGGGCTGATCGTAAATTATTGGCTACTAATTGGAATGACTTACTTTGTCCAAAAATGGAAAGCTGTGTTAGGGAGGCGTATTCCAATGGTTGCACATGGATTGTTAGCCAGGCAAATGAAAACATATACGAGGTCCATTCATTTCCAACAGTGTTGGTAGACATTGACAAGCGTTTATATTCATGTTTCCAGTGGCAATTGAATGGATTCCCATGTGCACATGCAGTGGTTGCAAAGCAGAATAGTGGAAGGGATTTTACATGTGTTGAACCATTTTTCACCGTTGATCAGTACAAAGCAGCTTATTTCGGATACATTCAGCCAATACCAACAGTTGACAAACCGTCCTGCTCGGAAGATGACTTCGTCATATATCCACTAGCAGTTAAACGTCCTCCAGGGCGACCAAAGAAGAATTGGATACCATCTCGGGGAGAGAAACTAAGTCAGATTAGGTGCGATCGATGTGGCCGTATGGGCAGCCACAACCGAAAGACATGTAAAGAACCAATTTAGTAATAGACAAATAGTGGCAAAGTTTTAGAATCACTTTTGAGTAGCAACATCGTATTATCGTAGTAGAATGTAGTGAAACAAAATGATAACAAATTTTAATAAGTCAACACATTGTTGAAATGTGATCATTCAGCTGGTTTTTTTCTTCACACTGCTTTCATTCATATATTAACTTTACATGTTTATGTTATTGTTCATGCAATTGTATGTTTTAAACCAGCAATACACGTTTAGGTAGTGCGTTGTACGTTGGCCTTGTATGTGAGAATCCATAGTTTTTGAAACCAGGTCACGTTGGTGTTATTATGTCGGTTTGACATAGGTGATCCTTTAACCAGTTCATCAATCTTAATTTACAGCACATTCTTGAAAGATTAAATTGACGAAGCACACTACCATTTGAATTTACAGCACATCCTTCGACAGTGGGAATAAATTTTAAATCGAATCAAATCATTCGGAATTCAAAGAACAACATTGTTTACAAAGTTTTTTTTTTTTAAAAATTCAAACTTCTAGTCTTGTAAATTGTTCGAATTGTAATTTGAAGCAAATAACATACTACGAACATGAATGTGACACCATACAATATAAGGCGAAATGCAAATTGGCACATACCAACATTGTCAAACATGATATGACAACATATAAAATAACAGTACGCATGTCGATTTATCAAAAAATGCGACAACATAAACAAGAATGTGAGGTGCAAAGATTGATGTGTGACACACCCCCAATGTTAATGTGACAGCATATATACTGAGTAAATGACAATTTGAACATGTGACACATTTAAAGACAATGTGACATTTGATAAATGAAAAGTGAACCAAATCTACCTAACAAAACCCACCACCCTTAACATGCTGTGGCAAGTAATAAACACTCCAATACATTCACCCTCATAATCTAAAAAGTATACATGGGAAGTCAAATTATGTTAGAATAATCCACCATCGACACGTAACGTGAATGTCAAAAGTAACAATTTAAGTAACCTAGATAACAAACGTCATCTGATCAATCCTCAATCTTGTTAGTTGCATTTTCCAACTCCTTGTGACAAGTACCATATACTCCCACACATTCACATTCAAAGTCTGGGTATTAGAGATGGACAACCAAGATTCCTACTGACATTCACATTCACCTTCACATTCACAATCACATTTATATTTACATTCACATTTATACAACCATATTCACATTTAGTCACCCAAAATTCCTGCTCTGACATTAACTTCCTACTGACATTACTGAATGATACATGTTGCCATATTATAACAAACAAGTGCAAACAAAAAATTATGAATGAACCGTTATAACATATTCCAAAAAAAAAATGGACGAATTCTCAATCCATATTGACAATGCTACCTAAAACATCCAAAACATCCAAAACATCCAAAATTTGTTTAACGTCAAACGTACTATACTGTTCAAAAACTAATTAACCGTGAATTTAGACCAAAAAAACCAATGCTACACCCATTTGGCACCATTGGAAAATTGTTCCAATTGTCATTTGGCAGCAACAAATGACCTTTTCAGGTCGTTCACAAATAACTTCACCATACCGGCTCGCATCGTTTTGCAGCTCTCCCCGTCCATTGACTTATCCACTTCTAGGTGACGCACGAGTTGCTTCATCATGGCATACTATAATTCCACAATCAGCCCTGTTAGAAATATTTAAGACATTAGTAAATACGTTAAAACAAACCACATGCAATGTATGGAAACATCAATGACATACATTGCAAACAAATGTAATTCACACTTACGAGTCTACTTTTTGTTGCAGACAATAATCAACCACTAAAAGTTCTTTCACCAAATCTTGCGTTTCAACTGCGCCAACCTTCAATCTCTGCCTTATGTAATCCCCAAAGTATCATTTTTACGTTATTGTCAAATTTATATTACCAAGTAATTAGTTTTGTTGTCAAATATAAAATACAAAGACCAGTGAAATTAACTAATTCACGTTTACTAACCAACAACCATGCTTCCTAGTAATGTTTGTCTTTCCTCCCACGTCTTGGTTTCATTGAGTTGTAATGCATTCAAAATCCCTCATCGGTTTCATAAACCATTAATGTCCAATGGTTATCTAAGTGGATTGTGAATTGAATATATCTGGCTTTGAGGGGATGAGGGGCACGCACGACCAAATACCTGTCACGTACATCTTCGGCCACATCTCTAATTGTAGGCTACACACATTCAATTTTGTGTTCGTTAGCACAAATATAAAATGTCTAACAACAATTTATCAAACGTCACATCTTACCAAACATAACGTGTTGAAAATGTATGATTTTTCCTCATCCGTGATTGCAGGTGACTTGATTTGCTGCTTGTACATCAACATTTCCGCGTATGCATCGATTACCTACGTGCACAAATAAAACATCTATGACTTTACTTCCCTCGTATACATTGATGTAAATTGCATACGCATGTTCAGAAGCTTCAGACGTTTCAAGAATAATTAAGGATACCATACTTACATTGTCTCGTAAGGTCAACCCCTTAACGATTGCCCGTATGTCATTGAAACACACATAATTGGAACCATTCTGCCCAGTCCAGACGTGCACACTAACAATTTAACAAGACATTGTTCAACACTAAATTCATGTACAAATGCAAAACGGTAATAGTAAGCTTGGAAAAGTCCATATCCCCGCCTTTCTCGTAAGCTTCTTTAAGCTTGTCTTTCTTTTGTGTTGATAACAACTTCCAAATCGGCAAACGATTAGTTAAGTCAAAACGAGAAAATGTCCTCTCTGGCTCTGCAAGGTCATCAACCTCTATAATTTTATCGTGCATTATTTGCTTATCAGCACACTTACCCACATCGACCACACCACCATTAGATGGTTTCTTCAACCTCTCTAAAACCAATGGGTATTCATACTCTGGCAGTTTGTGCTCCTTCTTATTTTTATTTTTAATGTTTCTCACAAGCGAGTTCTATAACATAGTTGTTATTCTAATATTTTGACTTATTGCAGACATTATATCTACATCACACACCACATGCCCAATTTCGTGGGTGGGGGTCACATAAGTATCCACCCCTCATAACTCTGCTTTCTCATTCACGTCAGATGGAGATGATGTCGGCAATGGCATAATGTCAAGTATGTTTGTCTCACAATTGTACATGTTCGGATGACATTACTTCATATCTTGTACAGCAGCAGCTGCGTGGGTGTATTCATGCACTGAGTACTCCTCTAACTGATCCACAAGCTTTGCGTTTTTGTTGTTAAGCTTAGCCATTAGTTGCTTCATCCTTTCTATCTCACAATCCTTTTAGTTATTGGTCAGTGTGTATTCATGTGTGTAGACGTCCCCGCGAACGGCCCGAGAGGGAAATCCCGTTTCGTTCATTTTGGGCTCACTATAGTTCAGGACTCAAATTGTCACGGTTCTAAATCTGAACCAAAGAGTCCAAATCCGGCAAATCGTTTTTGAAAACAGATTTTTTGTAAAGAAGTGCCAAACATGGACTGCTTTGCTCGATATAGAGTCGCCATCTAAATATTTTATGGGAGAATTTAGGAAACCCTGACTCGTTTGCCTAAGGCCACATGTTCGTCATCACCAAAGTTACCTCGGTTCGAAAACTTGGGTACGATCGGGGAAGGTCAGCTATGAGCACCCCCTCTAGCCCGATCAAAGATCGGCCTCTACTAACCATGATATCTATTTTTGAAAACATCATGCGTTCTTATTCTGATTAATTAGCTAATCTTACTATGTGATGCGCACAACACAAAAGTATAGACTATATCGCTGAATTTGGAACAAAGCATTGCATATCCGTTTGTTTGGAAATCAATTTGAAATTTGCTACTCATAAGTAGGCTAAAACATGGATTTCGACGAGTTGTTCCAACTCAAACAATCCAACTTTCACCCACAGGCATTCAGGTAGTAATATCACATAAGCACATAGCCACATGGTAAGCATGCTGTCATGTTAACATTCACACTCATGCGAGATGCTAAAGCACAAATACTTACAGCGTACTCCGAGTCAAAACAAAGAACATGTTAGCAATCAAGCGTATGATCCAAGTCCATGTTAGATGGCTAATACATCACAGGCAAAATGCAATCTAGAATAGGCTCGGCTAATCCTAGGATGGCATGTGAAATACAACAAGTAATATGTATTCAAGTTAGATTTGAAATACTATGCAGTTAGCATGATGCGCCGAGCCCGGTGCATGCAAGACAAATGTATGGATGCACGCATGCATAACATAAGGTATGCTAAATTAAATATGTCCTAGTACTAACCATCAAAAGCAGGTAAGTAAAAGGTAGAAAGAAGTGGGGGTTGGAAGACATGCACACATACACCCACACTTATTACACATTCGCCCTTGCTCGGAGGGACCAAAAGAATAATACAAATTAATTAACTTACAAGCTAATCACTATTTGTAATTTATAACATACATCATTCAATAATACATCTATTCTTACATGGTATCAGAGCCATAAGATTTAGGCCTATATTCCTTTCTTTCCGGCGGGCAGCCGGCCGGCAACCATGCCTTCGCTGCCCATTGGAGTTTTTCAACACCTCGCCGAAGCACACCCAAAACCCTGCACTTTCTCAGTCCTGATTGTCTTTTTTCCGGCATGATACTCCGACCACAATTGATGATTCACTTCATATCGATCGTCGCCTTCGATCCCAAAGAATCAGAGGTTCACTCTCCTAATTCCCGAACTCAAACATACCAGAAAATATTCTTCCTTTGTCATTGTTCCTCCCTCTGTTCTTATGCCGTCTTCTGGATTTGACAATATGAGGTATGAACACCCCAGTTCCATTGCCAGTTCTCCACAAGTTCACGAGCCAGGTGGGCGGCACAGCATTGGTTCCCTCGTTCTCCAACCAACTGAAATAACTTCCGGGTATCACGGTAGCCGAGCAACAAAATCCAGTGCCCTGTTTGGCGCCCCTTGCA